CAGCACTGATGCCAGTCCGTATGCTATGACAGTAGTCAAGAGCACTTAACAGTTGGATGAGAGATCTTCTGTGGACCCTAAGCACATGCAAAAAGATTCTGATCACTCTGAACTGCAGTTAAAAGGTGACAATAGGGTCTGTTGGAGGAAGGCATGACCAATGACAAATCAGAACTGGGATGATTTCATGGAAGCTTTTATCTGACAACTAGAAATCTAAACCAAATTTCATGCCTTTTAATACAACCTACAAGTGCTGGTGCAGACTGAACTGGAATCAGCCCCACAAACATCTACGGGATCAGTCAAAGGAGTCTTCCCACAGTGAGAAACACAGGGATGGTCTGAACTCTTTTCATAGAGAGGTAACTAATAATTATACTGAGGAAAACACCAAACCAAACCAAAAAGAAAAACACACCACCAAACTCATCTAGTTCAAATACCATTTATCCTTTAAGTAACATGCAGCAAGGAAGGTAGGTCAAGAACCAAGACTGGAAAATATACTGTGCCTATATGTGAATTTCACCAAAGAAAGGACAGGAAAGTATCTAACCAAAACACTAATATATACATTACATACGTAAAATTTTGTTTATGAATAAAATTATATCCAAAGTATCAAGTGACAAGTTGCCTTCAACAAGGAGCTTCAAGACTTCTTCAGCGAATGAAGAAAGGATTACCTGAGGACTTGTGTTCCAATTCACTGGTATTATAAACTCATATTTATGACCACGTTAGTAAGGTTATGACTGATTGCAGCAAGAATCAGAAAAACATCACCACAACAGGTTTGGTTGTGTGTTGTATTAACTTCAGTTTAGACTGGAATGTGAGTATTTTTTCTAACCAGAGGTAGAAAAAAAACTAAAGATCTTGTCCAATAATAATCTTTTACCAATAATATAATAATCTTTTACTTATGGCACTGTAAAGCACTCATTAATCCCTCACCTTCATTATTTATGATGCTGTACTACAATGTATCAGATCTACATTCAGTTTTGTAAAGAAAATGCAACAAAGAATTAACCTGATGAGCTCAAACCTATTCTTGCATAAGTACATCTTGAGCATGAGTCTGAAAGTCTTTCACAAAACTGTATCTACACAATAAACTCCATCAGAGAGGCAATCTAAATTGACCGCTCTTCTTCCATCAGGCTCAAGTTACAAATAACAAAAGGTCCAGTTCTTGAGCCATCTCAACACTGTGACAATTATAGCGAACTAATGGATCTGCTCAGTTCTCTACTGAATTAGGATCTGCAGTGGGTAAGGGTTATTTTAGAGATGAGGTATTCTTTTTCAAAATAATCTCTTCTCACAAAAGCAGAATATGATCAGTGATTGTTAATTCTTACTTCATAGGAAATTGATTATAGGTACTTTTCCCTCACATTACTGTATTTTGAAATTTCATTTTGACTTACTCAGACTTCTTTTCACAAGTCTTAGAGGACTCTTCTATTTTTTTCTCCAGTTCCAAAACAAGTTCCTCTTTGCTCAAAAGGTTTTGCTGTGTCTGAATCAGTTCTTCTATTACAGTTTTTAACCTGTAAGACACAGATTTCAGAAACCCACATTATTAATATGGAAACTGTATATATTTGGGAACATTATATTTTCTTCCTTAAGATGTAAAAGAGCATTACTCTTTACATTACCTTACTCAGTGCCTGGTAATCCTCTTCTGTGGATGGATGTTTATATTATGTTATTAACTCAAATTATTACAGACCCCATACTAATTTCTGTACACATACAAGCTTACAGAATGATCTGCTGCCTGCAGGCTCTCCTGAAGAAAATTTCTTCCAGAGAATGTGTTATGAGTTCTGTGAATTAATACCTTCCTAATATATTGCTAATTTATGAGACATTTTATGAAAGATGAAACCCTTCCGAATACTCAGGCAAATGTTAAGTACACTGAATCAGCAGTTGGGCTGTACTTATCTCTACAAATAACAAAAAAAAAATAGAAATGGACGCCACCATAAGAGTGATTTGTATATTCTTCTCTACAGTTAACTTTTTTAAAGCCAATCAATCTTTGGTAAGAGTTAATTCAAAAGAAAGATTACATTTGTACAAGAAGGTATCAGTATTTGCTCAATACTAAAAGATAAGGGGTTATTGCACATTACAACCATTGCAATTACGCTGGCAAACATTCCAAGAATAAAAATTCCAATACATGTGGGCTTTTTCCAGAAGGAAACAGGAGACCTGGACATGGAGAAGGCTGAGGCACTCAATGGCTTTTTTGCCTCAGTCTTCACTGGCAAGAGCTCCAGCCACACTGCCCCAGTAACAGAAGGCAACTGGGGAGAGCCCATGGTAGCAGAAGATCAGGTTTAAAACCAACTAAGGAACCTGAAGGTTCACAAGTCCATGGCACCCGATGAGACGCATCCAGAGGTCCTGAGAAAACTGGCAGATTTGCTTACCAAGCCATTATCTATTGTATTTGAGAAGTTGTGGCAGTCTGCTGAAGATCCTCCTGACTGGAAAAAAGGGAAATATAAACCCCATTTTTAAAAAAGGAAAAAAAGGAAGACCTGGGTAACTACAGGCTGATGAGTCTCACCTTGGTGCCCAGGAATATCATGGAGGAGATCCTCCTGGAAACTACGCTAAGGCACATGGGCAGTAAGGGGGTGATTCATGACAGCCATCATGACTTCACTATGGGCAAATTTTGCCTGTCAAATTTGGTTCCCTTCTATGATGGGGTTATGGCATTGGCAGATAAAGGAGGAGCAACGGATGTCATCTACATGGACATGAGCAAGGCATTTGACACTGTCTTGCATAGGATCCTTGCCTGTAAATTGGAGAGGCATGGATTTGATGGATGGACTACTCAGTGGATAAGGAATCAGCTAGATGGTCAAACTCAAAGAGTTGTGGTCAATGGCTCAATGTCCAAGTGGAGATCAGTAATGAGTGGTGGTCCTCAAAGGTCGGTATTGGGACTGGTGATGTTCACCATCTTTGTCAGTGACGTGGACAGCAGGATTGATACAACTTCAGCAAGTTTGCCAAAACTAAGCTGCGTGGTGCAGCTGACACACTGGAGGGAAGGGATGCCATGCAGAGGATCTCTGACAGGCTTGAGATGTGGGCAAGTGCAAACCTCATGGTTCAACAAGGCCAGGCACAAAGTCCTGCATCTGGGTCAGGGCAATCCCAAGCACAAAAACAGGCTGGGTGGAGAATGGAATGACAGCAGCCCTGAGGAGAAGGACTTGGGTGGGTTGGCTGGTAAGAAGCTCAGCATGAGCCAGCAATGTGTGCTCGCAGCCCAGAAACTACCTGTGTCCTGGGCGGGCTGCATCAAAAGGAGTGTGCCCAGCAGGTCAAGGGAGGGGATTCTTCCTCTCTGCTCCTGTGAAACCCCACCTGTAGTCCTGCATTCAGTTCTGGGGTCCCCTAAGCAGATGTGGACCTGCTTGAGCAAGTCCAGAGAAAGGCCATGAAGATGACCAGAGGAGCACCTTTCCTACGAAGACATGCTGAGGGAGTTGGCCTTATTCAGCCTGAAGAAGAGAAGGCTCTGGGGAGGCCTTAAAGCAGCTACCAGTACCTGAAGGGGGTCTACAAGAAATCTGGAGAGGGACTTTTTACAAGGGGCTGTAGTGATAGGACCTGTGGGAATGGCTTTAAACTGACAGAGGGGAGATTTAGATTAGAAGACATTAGGAAGAAATTCTTCACTATGCAGGTGGTGAAATACCAGCAGAGGTTGCCCAGAGAAGCTGTGGCTGCCCCATCCCTGGCAGTGTTCAAGGCCAGACTGGACGGGGCTTGAAGCAACCTGGTCTGGTGAAAGGTGTTGCTGCCTGTGGCAGGGGTTTAGAACTGGATGATGTTTAAAGTCCCTTTGCATTCTAAGATCTATGATAACCAAAAAGTCAACAAATGTACACAACATTTGCACTCCAAATAATGCAGAAAAAACATGTACAACTTATTTCCTTCACAGCATTCACTTACCTTTTACTGCCCTAATCTTCTGCCCCTGTATTTTGAAGTCAAATTTAAATTTAAAAAAATCTTGAAATAAAGAGTTGAACAAAGGTAAAATACACATAGTACTTGCCACTGCACAAATTTATTGCCCAAAAATCGTTCCAGACTGGAGAGCGGCAAAGAAGGTCAACTAAGGGTAATATACATGGACTCTAGATATCTAGGAGCCATGTTTTACATCCATATATACCAAACTGAATGATTTGATTCTAAGTGCTGATTTAGTTTTCTTTCTTCTTGATATATTTTATTCAATGTTGATTATATATATTCTTTATTCAGAGAGTTTTGCATCTCACCTTGGAAGACTTAAATTACTCCAAAAAAGCCATACAGTGAAAGATAAGTTTATTTACTGTACCAACAAGCTTCTGCATGTGTTAATTTTGAAGTGAGTGGAATACTTAAAACATTTTTCTCAAATATCGCCACAGCTCTTCTTTTAATAAACATTTTTTTTATTTTAGGCTATAAAATTTTGTATGCTGAACTTCTAGAAATTACAGTTTTCTTACACTGGGTCACCAATTTAATATCCACAAGCTTTTTTCTTTTAATACCTTGCTAAAAACATAATTACCAATTTTGTAACTGCAGACACTGCTTTTTGATCAGATTTCTAATCAAAATTTTAATCAACATTGTATTGGCTTAATAATTGATTTACAGGAAGCTAATGATCAAACACCAATATTCAAGAAATTAAAAACAAATTAGTAAGATCACTGGAAGATATGAGTATATACATGCAAAAACAACGTATTAAAATATTGCACCATTTCAAAAACATCAGATTTTATATTGCAGCATCAGACCGAAACAGAAAGCTCACATAGGTCTCCCTGAAACCTTTAAGATACTTTAAAATGTTTGTATTTAGAGAAAACAAAAGAAAGTAACCATACACACACTAAACTAACCTTTTTCATTGTTTTCAACCTCTTATTTTTTGTTTTAAGCAATAATTTTCATTCAAACTGGCAAGAACTGACATCCCTGCATCTGCCTTGTATTACCTTACTTGTAAGTTCCTTGTGGCTTCGTATTTGCCTCCTGGATAAAATAGTTTACAAAAGGGTTTTTATTGCTAACCAGCTAGTCACTATAATCCTTACTAGCCTTAACAGCCATGCAATCCCAAACTGTTAGGTTTCAATAGCATAAGAACATACAAAATAAGACAAAAAAAAACCAACAAACACCACAACAAAAAAAAAAAAACAAAAAAACCCTGAACAGACATCTTCAAACTAGGTTCTGGCTACCTGGAAAGCTGTCTTTCAGATTTTTTTAGTCATTAGCAATATTCTGCCACAAATATCAATAAAAATAAATGCTTGTGCTTACAGACTCCTATTCTGAAGATTTTTTACCTTCATTTGGATATTAATTCATATGCCCTCTTAACAGCATTTACTTAATCCTGATCAGCTCCTCTCAGCTTTTAATGCATTCACATTCAAAGCATAAAAACTGCCACTGTTCTACTTTTCAGAATGTCTCAATATTAGCCAGTGACAGTCATCAACATTTATCAGGAGACATCATACCTCTCTCATTACTTACATGTTAGGTAGTCAACATTGACTTTTAACTACCTCCTTCTCTCAAAACATTATCTGTAAATATAAACTTCCCTAAAAAATGTAAAAGGAAGCCAGTTTTCTCATCATGTTTCCTTAAAATTTTTATGAAAACCTTTAAACAGTAAAGTATGTAAAGCTGTCTCATGTTTTTCTTCACATAATCAATAAACCAACTGATGCAACCAAAAATTATTGATTACAAATCAGTATACATCTTCCTATCTATTGAAAGTCTGTAAATATCCAGTATGTGAACTGCATTTATTATATTTGGTAGATACTGAAGGTAGTTCTCTTCTGCAGAAACATGTCTATGGATAAAGAATGCAATACTGAGCTTACCTGCAAATTTCTAGTCACACACAGTGAGTTTATGAAAATATCCATGCATTTTTTGGCTGTAGTGGTTTAAAAGTAAGACTAGCAAATATATCTTAAAAAGTAGTTAAAAACATGTATGAGCAAAGGCAGTTACAGAGAACTAAGCACTTCTAAAAGGAAAGGCTCTGACCTGCACTAAAAAGCAATTAAAAAAAGGCCAAAGAGGATAAGAATAAACAAGCTTTACAGTGCCAGAAGCTAGTGGAGTTTTACAAAAATCTGTACTGCTCAGTATGTTCATAATAACCCAAATAAAAGGACAGTTTAAACAGTGACAAAGAATGCTGACAGTACTATGTTATTTGAGATAGGGGGAAGGGGCTGAAAACAAAGAATATGAAAGGATTATTCTGGATCTTAAAATACTCAGTTACTGGACTGTCATTTAGAAGATTCATTTCAATGCATACTGAAAAAGGTAAACATACAGAGGGGAAAAAACAATCCAAAGCTTTATTTATGTACTGAACAGCTTTCAGCTGACTGTTACCATTAAAAAATGAGATCTAGGCATTACAGCAGATTGTTCTATGAAAACACTGCCTCTTCTGACCACTGCAGTGGTCAGAAAATCAAAGAGAACAATTTCCTAGGGTTTGTTAAACACAAAGCAGAAGAAGAATACTGGAAACCTCAGTATGCCTCTCTCTAAACTATGCCTCTAGATTACTTATGCAGTTACGATCATTCATTTCAAAAATAATACAGTAACCTCAAAAGCATTCAAATAAAGATGACAATCTTGATAAAGGATACGAGTAAGTTTTGTGAAAGAACAAACTAAAGTTAAAGACTCCTCTAAAAAACAGATCACCAAGTAGGAGTATGACAGAAGTTTACTGTTCTCCTAGCCAAAAAGGAATAGAATGTTCCTGTTTTCTCCCAAAAACAAAGAGCTTAGGGGCCATAAAACAAAGCTAAGAAGTAGCAGGTTCATATATGATGACAGGAAGTTACTCTTCGGAATTCCTTGACCAAAAATTCTGTGGACAACAGATACTTGAACATACTGAAACTGACTGTACAAATTCACCAAATTAAAATACCTCTGAAGGGTATTACAAACTATCTCTAAGGCTTTTATAAACAAATACTACTTCTACTATATTTCTGACCTGAACATTATGGAAAGCTGAGAGGTCATTCTGAGGAACAAACACTGCGTATTCATCCTGTTCTTGTCACTTCCCGATTTTTCCCTGTGGCTAATGTCAGAGAGAAGAAAGTTGGGTAGGTCAGTCTGACCTAGCACAGTTAAAACTTTTTGCTCAGTCCTAAATCTATATCAGAAAGCAAACACCTCAAAGACACCAATACTTAAAAGAGCTATTTGATTCCCGTTTCAAAAATAGTCTCACACCATACAATTGCTCTCTCAAATTCACAAAAGAATTTAAAATGGGTGGATATAAGACTTCTAACAGGGCACCCTGGAAAATCGATTGAAAATGCATATATACAGGTAATTATGCAGACACACATTTATAAAAACAAATATAAACTTCATGAGAATCATTTACTAACGAAGCAGCATTTCATCTCTTTCACTTAGATGTGCTAATGTCTTATTTCTAAACAATGCAATACAGAAGGCAAGCCCAACAAGAAGGTATTTATCTTTTTGACCTACAGAAAAGACAATCTTTGAATAACTGTAATACTTTTATGAAAAGCAAGATTTAGTATACGTACTTTTCTTGTTACTGTGCTGAAATACATCTAGATGTACAACACTGGCACAGTTTAAGCAGGAATAATCTCAATTTAGTAATGAAGAAGAATATATTATACAGAGAAATATGTTTAAAGGGAAGGAAGAACTTCAGTTATCAAGGGATTCTTCTTCCCTTCCGAAAACAGATGAAGTGTCTTCAGGACTAAGGAGGAGTTTAACAAAGGAGGCTGAGACTTCATATTAAAAATATAATTTCAATACCTATTAAGGAATATATTTATAGAAAGTAATAAGAATGCAAAGGTAAAAACGCAAGGATGATTCATGGTCTTGAATGGGAATTTATAATAAAGTCCAAAGATCCTGTCATGTTGAGAAAACATAGGGATATTAGAATGATCTGCAGAAGACACTGCAATGTATTTACATGTGAAATACATCACTGCTATTAGGACTCCCTATGATTTTGGTCTTCAGAAATACCTACAAGAAACATGGATCATAGATTGATTAAGCTGATGAAATTTTTTAAAAAACTTTAAAAAAAACCCTCAACACAGCATTGATTATTAATTGAATTTTTTCCTTTAGAAAGCATAACTGAGGCAACTAAGTCAAACACGGCTTGAAATACTGTATAGACAACAAAAACATCATCAACAAAATTCTGAATTTTCCATTTTAAATCACTATCATTAATGTAAAAATAAATATACAATTAATAGTCGCAATCTCAGAAGTTACTGTGTTAGACCATTTTATGTTAAATGTTGTGGCTGACAGAAAACAATAGCCTCACAGCAGGAGATTTACTCCCCAGGGAACAAATAGTTAAAGGTGAAGTTAGTAAAAGTAATGAAAAGATTTAACTAGACAATGCATTAACAGAATACACAGAGAGGTAACTTACCACTCCAAATAGCTGAAAGCTCCATGAAATGCAATACAACAGCTACACCTGTGTTAGTAAGTTAATCTGTTTTAAAGGTTAAAATAATGAATGTCTTTTGGAAAACAAAAGCACTTAGAAAACAAGTAAAATACAGTCATGAAAATTTCAAACTGCACTCTGTGGTTCCATCAAAAGATTTCAGTATTTTTCCTAGAGTACTGAATGTGGAAACATACTTGGGAAGATGAATCAACATCAGCCAAAGGAGGACTCATGATGGGTTTGAGGCATTATATTAATTAACTGTCAAGGAGACAAACATATATTGAAAGTGCTACCAAGATGGGGGGGGGGGAGGTACAACTGGAGTAGAAAATTTTGTGCAGGGGAACAATAAAACCAGCATGGAAAAGGGTCTATAGCATGAAAATGTTATTTTTAAGAGACTAGACTTTAAAAATGAGCACACCATGTGATGATTAAAGTGAGACTAAATATAATGTGTAACAGCATTTCCAAAGGTTGAAAGGTTTGTAAAGACTTACGTGATTTGTAAACTTTCTGCTGTCAGATTATTCCACATGATCTCATTAGCCTGAAGGTTTTCATTTTCTTCTAGTAAAGATGTATCAAACTCTATTTCTTGCTCAACAACTTCTGATGACCTAATTTATTAAATAATTAGTTTCAGAAATAACATTACCTTTGAGTAGATCATAAACCAAATTGTTATGTGTTGAATTATTTTAATAACTAGAATTAAAATTACATATGAAATAAAAGGTAGTAGCTGGATACATATTATTTTTCCTTTGAATGAGAATTGCAGTCTTAAAATCATACCAGGTAATAAAATGACATACAATTCTTTGAATCAAGATCACATCATAATGAAGGTTCTCAAGAGGTATCAATATGAATGGCTCCAATCTTGGCTAGTCCTGCTATAAACCTGCACATGACAATTATGAATTCACACATGACAACGAAAAAGATAACTCATGAAGTCTTAGGACTATTTCAGCATATACTAACACAGAGTAACAGTTCAATATTGGTATAGAGTTTATTTTTACAGTAAAAATCTAATTATCTGTTTACTCTGTAATCCCAGGCACTGCTCAACCTGCATTAACTGCAGATGCACAGGGGTACCTAGAGTTCACTTTAAAGTAGGACAACAAGAGACATAAAGCAGAGAAAGCTTAGCCAAGAAGGCAAAGTGCATTCAAATAAACAGTGAATTAGCTTACACAGTCTGGACTGTCATGCATAGTCTGATGTCAGTACCTAAGTTATGGTTCTTCACATATAATAAAGGTAACTGAAATTCTGTTTTTTGTACTGCCAGCCAAGCTTTGGATAGTTAAAGTCGGGTACAAAACCTGACTTTCAGCCAGCTTTCTACACATGCAAGTAGAACAGTTTTCAAACTATAATAAAGCTTTACAAGTAAAAATGTAAAAGGAGACAAACAGATAGAAACTCAACTCATAAGCAGTGTTGCAGTTTAATGCAGGGTTTTCCCAAGAAGAAACATGAACACGCACAGCAAGGTGAAAATGTGTACCTGTGTGTATCTATGAAGTCATCATACTCAGAGTTAGGGTCTATCTGTTCAACCGAGGTCTGGATCTCTTTATGGACATTCACAATCTCTTCTGTTACAAGACTGGTGATCTGGCTATACTCATCCAGGATTCCTTTTCTAGAAAGGAAAAAAAATTCTAGTGTGTAACATGGCACTGAAGGTATAGATGCCATTGAAGACGCTTCAAACTTTCGATTTTCTGTTTCTATGAGCTCTTGCTACAACTGGCTAAAAAAAAAGGAAAAATAAGACGATATATTACTTAGAGAAATAACAGATCAATTGGGGCCTTTACAGATTGACTATGAGCCTCTAAGACCATGCTCGTACTGATTTCAGGGCATCTACACACACAGTAGCAAAAAACTGTAGAAATTACATGGAGAAGGTATCTATATAGCTCATTCATGACATTTTTCTTCACAAAGCACTTACCATGCTTGTTCTGTCCCACACTAAAGCTTTTCATAGTCTCTCAAAATAATTATATTCTGGCATAAGCCAAAACAAGTCACAAAATAGTGTGCATTTCCTTTAATACTAGTTTTCTTTAATGTTTAAACTATCTTCTTTCATATATTCATTTTATGATTTGTTATTCAGACAAAAAAAAGCATACATCACAAGTTAGTATATTTTTACAACAAAATCACACAAGAATTTCATGTAAAAAAAGTACAAGCTACCCAGCCTTGTCTTTACCTGCTTCCCAGTGTGGGGAAAAACAGGTGAATAAGGAACAGCAAAAGAATAGATGGTATTGTGCCACTACTCTTCATAGCATCCAGTGACATATTCTCAGAACACCCTCCTATTCTCTTTAATTTTCAGTTTCCCATAAACAAACCCTCATAATTGTTTCCTATCTCAGCTTTATCTTCAATAAACTTGCTAGGCTGCCAGGCCCTTAATCATGGTGAGACTTCATAAAATACAGATGACTACTGGCCAGCTCAGAGGAACATGCAGAGAAAAACAAACAAACAAACAATCAATCAATCAAACAAACAAACAAAAAAACAAACAATAGATTTTTCCTGGACCAGATGTCAAGTTACACAAACTCTGTAGAAAAAGTTATGTGGTCAGATTTTTTCAATACTTTTTCTGAGGAAGAAACAGACAAAAGAAGGCATTAAATCTTGCCTTGCCTATGAACAGCATGTGTGAAAAGGTTCCAGAAAATAGTTTAAAGAATATGATTACAAGATAGGCAAACAGCAACTACAGCAATGTCATCTCAAAGAGAAAGGAAATCTGTCAATTAAAAAAAAAAAAAATCATTAGCAATACTAATCTATACTTATTCAAGTTTACTGAACTAATTTATGATCAAATCAGGTTATTAAGAAAGTATGTTTCACACAGATGGCCACACCAGGCTCTACACCTGAAATCACCACCTCTTTCTGTACAACAAAGTTAGTAGAAAGGATTAATTTTCCTGTACATTCAGATCTCACAAAAATGTCTATGGAGTGACAATTTTTTTTTACAGGTTTTCATTCCAGACGAAGGTGAGTGGGTTAAATAGGTTCTTGTTCCATCATGAAATTCTTCAGTGAATTATTTCATAATTCTGAAAAATCACTTTAATTACAGCACAGCAATTCAACTGTAGCCTTTTGCTGTGATTTTACATACAAAATTAAGATGAAAAGGACTGTATAGAGGCTACTACAAAAGTGTATTTCATTTTGATATTTGCACCAGAATCAAAGGAATTAGTATGATACTGCAGACGGCTGTTAATGGCATCTGCATCATGTAAGCATGTAAAGCCTGAAATTCACAATTCTCCCTCACTTCCTGTGTGCTGAAGTCACAGACTTTAGAGAAGGTAAGAAATGAGTTAGAGTGCCTCATATCTAAATGACAAAAAAAGTAAGCTCCCTTTCTTTTAGGCTAAGTGATTTAAATAACACCCCAGAAAAAGAGCTCCAGCACAGACTCCCATACCAACTCACATTCTTCACAAAAGACAGACAGCATGGTGGTTCAAAACTAGAAAAGAGAGCTTAAAGTCCTCTTGAGATCATCAGCTTGCACATCTTCTGTAATGATGTTAAAAACTATCTATGATCTTTCAGGGAAAAGGTAACTGTATTTTTAAGGTTGAACTCCTTACAGTGAGATCAGGATTATATGATCCTGTTACTTCTCCAACACATATGATAAACCAAGCATCTGCCTGGCCCTCCTCCACAATGACTTGCAAGACAGCTGGCCAGTTTAAATCTAAATTGTTACTTAGGAGAACTTCGTAAAAATAAGACTACAGGAGATGCAACAAACTTGCCATAATATACCTGTACAGTATATATATAATACACCAGCTGAAGGACAAAGCATGAGCTCAGATATAAACACTACACTTAATCTGTAATATTTTAAGCTTTAATGACAAGACAGTGTCTTGGGACAATATTCAAGTAACCACCCAAAAATACAGTGTGCATTTGTCAACTGAAAGATAAAACATCTTTTTTTATTATCCCTTGCTATACAATTATACACAGATTATTATTTTCAAATAATAATAAAAATTAATTAGAATGCTACATATATAAAATTTCACAAGTATAAATATATAAGAATACATCTTACAGGGCTTTAATCATTTCTTCTTGCATCTTCTGTAGTGAATCAAGTAACAGAGGAAGTGTAGTGTCATAATACTGGTGCTGATGTAACTGTGCTCCTTTCAGTGCCAACACATACTGATTATGCAACATATGAAGCTTCATAGTGGCTTTCTCACACCGATCTTTTGCTTTCTCAGTCTCCTTTCCTAAGAGAAAATAAAAAAGAAGGATGCATGTGGTAACTTAGAGCATGTAAACTTGTAGATGACATAAATTTAGTGGATTTATGATAAGTTTGCACCTTTTTCTACAGTAGTCTTTTCAAGGTATTTCTCTGAAGAACATAAAATCTTACTGGTTTCAGATCACTAGCAAGACCAAATGTCTTGATTTTCTAGCTAAGAGACTAAGTAGAAAAAAGTTGATGTTTTGGTTTGGGATTTTTTTTTTTTTTTAACAGCAATGTGAGCATTCTTTACCTAGAAGTGTATGAAAATCACTATCTACATGGTATAAAAATAACTATGAAGAATAAAGAACAAAACTCATACACAAGAATCACAAAGATAATCTTATTTACCTCAAAGCAAATAAACATTTTTTAATGAAAAAAAGTAAGAGATGTCCAACCAGGTCAGATCCACGGTTCAGTAAAGCCCTGTCGCTTACTGCAAGCAAAAATTCTGTTCCTACATTTCATCCAAATAAAGCAGTGCGGTCTACGTATTAGTAGCTGAACTCTCACACTATTACTCCTGTCCAAAATGGGCAAGTTCTCTCCTATGATTTAACGTTTCTTTATCACTGTTGGCATCCTGGTTGGAGCTACAATCTCAGCTCTATACTGTTAAGAGATTAGAAGACTTGAAAACCATGCTGACAAGAACAGTTCGTAGCTGAGCCTAAGAGCTACAAGGTGCTTCAAGAGGTCACCTATTCAATTTTTTGCCACAGTACTTGTACAAGTATATGGCGTATGCTTTCATGATTTTCCTAAGATCTCCACTGACATCATTTTGCAACTTTCTAGTACCATTCAGGCCTAGTGAAGGTTTCTCCCCACCTCTCTGCCCCTTCACTCTCCAATGTAAATCTTCACTGCTTTAATTTAAACCCTTACTTACTTCATATGTGCCATGGGGATGAGAAATAGATTCTATACCCTCTACAATCCATCCTTTATATATTAGGCAACATACTCTTCTTCTGCCCAGTCTTCTCAACTTCATACTAACTGACTTACAGGTCTTCCCTTGTAAACCCTGTTGTCTTTTTTTAGTTGACTGGTTCACAATCTTACGCAAGTACAACTTCAGTCAAGGCTTAAAGTCGAAGAATAACTTTACATTCTTCATGCTTCTAGCTCATTGAAAAAAATAAAAAGTGTCTGTTTTGATTACCATAAGACATGGCATCAGTATTTTTGCTTTGGCATCTGATGCTGCCAAGTAACTCTATTTTTTTGAGACAGTCTTCTCAGTTTATTGAATTATTTTTAACTGTACAGCTGCCCTACAATGCGCTTTCACTCCCTTCAAAGCATACTGATGCCTGGGAACGTGATAAGCAAACTCTGAAAATAGGTAATGAAACACCGGCAGACCATCCAAACCTAATCTCAACAGACAACCAGCAATGTCACATAAGATACATTATTCTGCCAAGACCTCATTAACAACCATTCTCCAAGCAGCTTTATGAAAGTTTTGCACCTCTACTAGAGTATTTTCAACTTGGTCTGGCACTGCCCTTGTTATAAAAGGATATTTTTGGTCATCTGCAGACTAAGACAGATATACTGTAAGGTCTTTAAGAAAAATGAAAGACATGTGACATGGGAAATAACAGAAGGTGTCTGAAGAAGGCCTCCTGGGGAAGATGTCAAGTAGTAGTTACAGTGCAGGGACTAGATCAAAGAGGAGAGGACGATGCAGGTGGAAGTCACTGGATCTAGAAGCACTAAGCTTTCTTTGCCCTGGTCCAATCACTTGGGAGATACACTGGCCAGGGAAAAAAGAGGCAGAGAAGGCAGTATCAGAGTGAGAAATCCTGAATTATTTCTTGGCTTTTTTGTATGTTTGGCCACCTCTACTCAAGCACGTGACAGATTATAAAACCCAGAATTATCTTCGTAAGCCACAGTTTAAAATGTTAAAACGCACAACTTGTCCACATATGTCTTTAAAGTACACCCCTATCAGCTTATCAAAATCAGCATATGTCAAATTATACTGTGTACCATCAGTACAGGCTTCTGGCCTATGAACCACAACAAACAGCTTTTAACAGTTAAACTAAACTGAAAAGTTACCCTAAAGATCATCTCAACCACGTAAATAGAGACTTAGCAATACTACCTCTCTCAGAAACTTCATTAATGGCTAAACTATCCCATTTTCCCTCCTGCCTTGAGGACTAAATTGGTTTGATATACATTATTCCTCTAGCAGAACACCTCTACTAACTGCAAAATAAATCAAATTATCATATATACTCAACTTCTGAATACAACCTTTGGACCTATAGCTAATACAAGGAATGCAGCTACAGTATCATCTTCATATTGTAATTTGTCTTTTAAAGCAGCTAAAATGAAGTGAAGCAGAGTGCACAGTTGTTCTACATGTCAATTAGCACAGAAGAAAACATCCAATTTTCTCTATCTGTATAATGATTTCCTAAATAGGTCTAATTATAATTCCACTGCCATCAGTTGTTGACAAAACTGTTTAATGTTTATAGAAACTGACTGTGTATACAATATGTCACTCCATAAACAGTATTATGAAACTTGCAAAATTTAATTATGAAAGTTTGAGATCTGCAGAGGCTGGAATTCTTTTTAAAGCATTCTAGACAGTCAAGTATTTCAATTGCTAGTAGAAACTCTTTCAGATTTTACTACATACAGTATAACAGAACCATCCAGAAAAAAATGTTTTAGGGTATTTTCTATTAAAAAGGCAGATCTGCTATTGTAAAGTTCTTACTATTGTAAGTATTAGTCTCGTGTTGTTTATTATTCAGCCCAAATGGAAGAATAGGACAACCGAGGGAAAATTCAGCTCATAATAATCACATAATAAATAAGCAGTGTACAGTGCAAGTGCCTCAAATTACTTTCAGAAAGGAAATACTGCAAATGGAAAAAAAAAATTTTTGTTTTTACTAAAAAGACATAATTATACTGAAAAGGTCAGGTTTTTATCCCCTTACAATTTTTTCCAGCTGGTCAGAGGCTTATATTCCCTTATATGTTCCCTACATTTATTTAGCACTGATTTCAATAAAATGTAACACTTGTGAGGTCTTCAAATTTGCATTACAGAATTTAATGCTTTACTCAAACAGCAAAATTCAGAATCTGTGGAATACAGTGTAATGAGCTCACTAATTCACACAGGACAAAGATCTAGATCCTGAATACTACCTGTAGCACGACATTTAAAACTCATGTCAAGACTTAGAACAAGCTTAGCTATTCAGATTTCAAACCCTACTTCATATAGCACAGGTTCAACTAATGACTGAGGCTTACATCTACTGTTGTTTCTGCAAAAGAAAAATCCAGTTAAGCTGGTTTAGTCACAACCCTTCACTGCAAATATAACTAGTCAGCCTTTCAGCTCAGACAAAATCCTATATCAACGATAACCCATTCTATAAAAAGATTATATTTTTCCCTCTCCATGTTGCCTTGCAACAATGGTAAGGAAAAAATGGCTACGAAACCTCCTGGAAGCATCAGATATTAAGTTATTTGTTAAGTTTGCTTTGTTTTTATTTGATTTGTTTCTTTGGGACATTTGAGGATAGAAAAGTAGAAAACTAAAAGGAAATAATAAAAAATCAAATTGACACAAAAAGCTAAACACTTGTCAACATTTAAGTATGCCTGAAACTCTCTAATTTTTGCATGTTTAAGTGCTTGTTCATAAAAGATAATATATATCATCACCACAATTATGCGGGAGGCATAACTGAAATACTAAGTAGTTTGTGAAAACAACATAAATCTGTCAGATTTGGGCAAATTTTGGAATATCTATAATTAGAAATAATTTTTTATCCAATTTTCAAAAATGTCAGAAGAATTCTGTCTGTAACACTCTGTATTTCAAGACTTCCTTTTGCCTCCCACTCTTGGGAACTTAAATGATACCAATACGTATGACCTTCCGACATTCTGATGTGATGACGAAGTTCATTAAAGTGTCATGGAGTTCACTGTAAAAGCTTAGCTTACACCAAACAAATTAACTTTCTGGATTTACAGCTCCTAGCTCTGAAATGTGACTTTTGGCTTCAGTGTACAGTGAATGCTGTACATGGGAGTTGCATTCTTTCTGATTCTCCTCTCCGTCCCTCCAGCAGTAGGGGGAGGGCAAGAAGGGGGGGGGAGTGGGTGAACAAGCTGTCTGGCTAGGGTTAAACCACAACAATGCTGCAGCATGAACAAACATTAATGAACATAACATCCATCTGACAAAGGCAAATATAATTTTATTATACAAGTCCAGTTTTCTGACAATTAATTTAATTCCATTTCAATGAGGCACACCTGACATGACAATAAAGGGTTATACACTCCCAACAAAACCAGTGGGAAGCCTTAAACATGGGATGACTTTGAAAACAGAAAAGCAGCAGAATTACAAAACAAACAAAATGAAAATTAAAAGGGCAACCTGAAGATCTACACAAGTAACAGGGGGAAAGATGATCTTTATACCTGAATGAAACTATGACTAACATCCAAGAGAAACTTGGAGGAGTACATACATCAAGAATTCACGTAACTGCCTCTGTAGTTCAAGGTGTGGTGTGATAGGAAAGGATGGGAGAAAAAAAAAAAAAAAAGAAGCAGTGCCTTGTGTGGGGTCACCTCCAGCACCTGATGCCTACAAGGAACCACTGTGGAAAAATCCCCCCAGATCCTCTCTAGGAACTCAAAATGATAGGGTGCCACCCTGAAGTGCCTGTGTCACAGTATCACAGTATGTTAGAGATTGGAAGGGACCTCAAAAGATCATCTAGTCCAATCCCCCTGCCGGAGCAGGAACACCTACATAAGGTTACACAGGAACGTGTCCAGGTGGGTTTTGAATGTCTCCAGAGAAGGAGACTCCACAACCTCCCTGGGCAGCCTGTTCCAGTGTTCTGTCACCCCCACTGAGAACAAGTTTCTTCTCAAGTTTAAGTGGAA